AGTGAAAAATATAAATGAAACTTTGCCAAAGTTTATTCAAATGTGATTCGGACATTAAACACATTAGTTATATCAGTTTGATATAACTGTCTGATCATTTCTTTGTTGAACAATTATCTACCAGTTCAGATATGATTCCAATATCATCATCCACCCCTAATATGTACAGTATATAAATACTGTATACTAAGGGTGTAGAATCAGAATATAGGAGACAGTGAGACCTGTACATTTCGAGGAAATGAAGACCTCAATGTCACCTGGGTGTGTCCCAGGAAAACTTTGTGTGTGTGTGTGTGTTGTGGCCCTCATAGGTAGCTCCCACACACACACACACACATTGCCGAGTCATAAAATACACACCCACCCACCCTTGTGCTGGGTTTTATACAGTGTGGGGTTAGTTTTGTGCCCTCAGGCAGTCGGTTAGTGGCTAAAGTGCATGTGTGTGAGGAGAGGACAGGAAATGAATCTGTCAGTGAAGTGCTTCTTTCAGTCTCATATTTGAAACAGATCAATGCTTCCCTCCTCCCCTGGGAACAGGAAACCAGGCCTTATTTATATTGTGACTTTCAGAAGACCCTAAACATTCATGGGTTATTTTTAACTTCTGAATAATTGAACGGTCACCTGAGAGAGCCAGAGCTGCTCTTAGTGTCCGCTCAGAGTGGGGGAAATGGAGACACTGGCAGCTCTTGTGCCGCCATCTTGGCACAGTATTTTGACAAGTGGTGTATCGTAGGTTGTATGTGAGTAATGGAGGTTCATACTATGAATGAAATCAATATCAGATTTCAACTGACATTTAATGCAGATATAATGATGCATTAGTTAGCCCTTGTTCTGAATCACTAGATTTATAACTAGTTTATTTTGTTTATTGTTTATTCTGATTTCTGGGTTTAACAAAGTTTTTGCACTTTTCTCTCTATTACAGAAAGTCACATGGATTTGCACACTTCACGTGGGAAAAATATGTAATTACGTAAAAACTTGTGGTTCTTGCATACTTCATATGTAACATATGGATGACTGTTCTGTAAGAGTGAGATTCAAAGTTGTGAAACTTACTTGGCTGTAGTACACCTGAACATCTTTGTTTTGTGTCCGAGTATGTGTTTTTCAGGGTTGGGGATGGCTTGGATTTGTGTAGCCTCCACTCCTTCACCTATAAACAACTGTCTGTGAAGCCTGCTCCTTTTCTGTACCAGAGGCTGCTGGACTGCCTGTCTTTGATAACCCAGGCAAATGTGAAAAAATAGGAATCAATTAAGAGATGAGGAAAGCTGTCAATTTCCGTGAGGTTTCCCTCGAGTCAAAGCTGGAAGGAGTTAAAGAGCGAATTATTGTGCCTGCCAATCTTGGCAAATCGTGTTTCATTGATTTAATGTAATTTTGCAATATGACTTTTTTTGCAATGCAAATTACAAGCCGTTATGAGACTCTATGACGGCAATCTGAGTCAAAACCACTGATGGAGTGAGTCACGTAGATTCAGACAGGCAACACATATAAATGCTCCTAACACCCACTGCCCTCGGGACTTAACTCAATTAAGAAAGTAAGTAAAGGGGAGATCTGTCACCTGTGGCTGAGGACCCCCCTTTTGTCCTACCCATATTCACTACAGTCACTAAGGCCTCTGATTTGGGGTGCAGGGGGAACCCTCCTTCCCTCTGTTGTAGATGCAAAAAACTGCCTTGCTCTGTTCTGGTCCAGATTAGAGCAAGGCAGTTTTGTTTATTGTAGACAGATAAAACCATCATTAGATAATGATACAGTTATTGAATAGAGAGAGGGAGGTAGAAGGACAGGGAGGAGAGAGGGAGGGAAAGGACAAGACAAGTGAATGTATAACAGGCTCTCAGACACACACACACACACACACACACACACACTTTCTATTTGTTAGGGGTGCACAATACGTGCACAACAGTGCATATTTGCAGATCAATGTGAAAATGTCATTGTTATTGATCTGATATTGGACTTACAGCTGATAATCACAGCCAGTTACCTGGTGCCTCACTTTTGCTTGTGCACACACTGATGTACTATCCTGCTGCAGAGTGAGAAGGACATTGGCGTGGAAGTTTTTTCACAGTTTCAGCAGAGGATCTGAATTGTAGTTTTTAGTAAATATCCAGTCGAAGTGCAGCAAGAGCAAAATTCACTGAATTCAGTTATCAGTTCTGGGTTTATGATTCAGTATTCACACAAAATTTTGAACAAAATTCAAATGAAGAAAAACGATGACAATGTTGTTGCACAGCTTACAAATGAATGTGCTGTTGTGGGTTGTTGACTGTTGCGGATCATTTGCAAACTTTGGTATTTAAACAGGGCAGCTGCATTAGATGGCAAAATTAATGGATTGGCCATTAAACACAGTGCATTGTCAAATGTTCACACTGCACGTTGTCCCAGTTTTGCATCACAATGTCGGCTCGGTACATCAGTGATGGATCACACCGCCTTACTGCCGTCACTCCTGCCACATCCATGTCAGAGCACATCACAATATTCAAACACCAGCTAGTAGACATCGTCTTGTTTGATCTACAGTATCATCAATTCACCGGAGCGCTGCTTCAAGTTAGCCAGCTGCTAAAAACAGCTAGTCTGGAAAGATAGCATTCTCCTGCTTTCCAGTGCCTCACAGCTTCCTCAGTTTACTTTTGTTTAAATCAGGGATGCAGGTTGCATGAACCCTTTTCTTTCTTTCACTTTTGTTGCTTGGGAATGCACTAATACTAAAATATGACTTTTTGAGTGCTGTAATGCAGCGCTTTAGTTGTGTGGAGCAGACATGATTTAATGCTGCTAAAGCTTGTTAGGATGTACGGAAAGAGGTGAGTTCACTGTAGTTCAGTACAGTTACGCCACAGTTCTCGTCTCTCACACTTGGTCACAGGAGAACAGATCGCCGGTCGCTCCACTCAGACAGGGAATGTATAACTCCACATTTCAAACGTTACTAAAGTATATTTGGTGTCTCGTTTTACTCGTCGCCCCCTCCCTCTCTAATCATGTCGAAAAACTCAGAAGTGCGCCCTCTCTTGGTGACAGCAGAGTAGTGTTGCTTTCCTTGCGGTAGAAAACGCCACCAGGGCTGTCGGTAGAATGTGGAAGTGTGAGAATGGTGTATTATATCGACGATTTATTGAACATTTCATATAGTTATATCGAGGAAAGTTATATCGTTTTATCGTCCAGCCCTACTGTGAGCATTGTCATGCTACATGTGAAAACAGTGAATCGTGTCAGTACATCTGAGTGTAGTCCGTAAGTTAGGCTAACTAGGAAGCAAGATTGATTTAAGGTGCATTAGGCTTGTACTCTAATAGTGGCATAAAATTTTCAATAAATTCTGTTAAAATGGATAATGTGATATATAACTTATATAAATAGTCAGTTAAAATGTGACAGGCCCAGCCAGAGCAAGGTGTTGTATTGGTCATTGTTATCAGCCCAGAAATTCCATATCGGTGCATATTTAATTTATGTAGTTCGGTCACTGCATGTATAAAACACAATGTAATGATTGTGAAAGGTCACAAGAGAGTAGAACACTATCTGAACATCTCACACTCATCTTTCGCTCTTTCATTTTTCTCAGTATTTTCTAGATATTCCCTCAATAACAGGTAGCTTTGGGGGTAGAGACCTTTCAACCTTGTCTTTATTTGTTTGGATTGCTTTGAAGTACAGACGAGACATTCGCATGATCACACACACAGTCTGTGGTCTGGATTCTAAAGTCTTGGTGAGAGTGGAATAGTTTCTTGATCCAGGTCCTAATAGTAAACATTAGCAGGTGTCTTTGATGGTAATATGTTCTCTACCAGATTGAGCAGGAGGCAAAATCAGTCTTGTTGGGGATACATTTGTGGGCAGAGCCAGAATAGGACAGTTTCTGACCTGAAACATATCAGCACTGAGCACCATTTTGGGGTCCTCATGCTAACAACTACAGATTTATATTTATATGAAAAAACAAGCAACAACAGGTATGTCTCAAAGTGAAGGCTGCAGATAGTCCAGGATTACGAAAGCTTAGCTTTAGTTCTTACTTGTGCACAATCAAGTTGGCCTGATCAGGCTGTACAGACACATCATGGGTTTACTGGCTTAAACAATGTGACATGTTTAAATTTAACGTTTAAAATTGACACTTCATTTCATTACAAACTCTGGAACTGCAGCCGTTTGTTACTCGTGGCTGTTTCCACCGTTTTCCAAACAGTTTTATGCTGCCCTGGAAGGATTGCGGGTGACCGAAGGTCTTGAAGGATACACCAGCTGCCTCCTTCAATTTCTCACAAACACAGGACACATTTCTTGGCCGCATTCAAAGATCCTACAGAGCAAGTCAACCTTCAGTGGTGTAACTGCCGAGAAATGCAGCCTTGCCCGGCTGCGTCCCTAGCTTTGAGATACGGCTTTTGAGATACATTTTTAATGCAGGACTGTTTTTTTTATCTAATATTTTAGCAGTTGACAGTTACCTTATTCATCCATGTTTTCTGTCCAGCTCATGGTGTTGTACCTGTGTGTGGTGCAACGAATTAAACACCAACTTCATACTGGCAAAAAAAACGGTCTTCCAGAGTAAAAAATGGCTGCTACGTACAGGGCATGTTCTCCAACAGAGGTTCTGCTGGTTGCATTGCTGCTGTGATGTGAGCCAGCCTCTGCAAAGCTCTTGGCTGGTGTGTGTGAGAGTGGCCTGCAGTGTGTGCTTCAGTGGGGTATTGTCTAAGCATTTGCCTTCTGTATGGCATTCGGCACTGATGTTAGAATGTGTAGAGAATCTCAGATCTCTCTCCCAGTTCACACGCACACACATGCACACACGCTCATACACCAGCAGCTATTTCACTTCAGGGCCAGAAACACAAAAATACTGAAAAAAGAAGGAGTTAAGAAAAGTTTGTGTGCATGTGACTCTGAGTGTCTGTACTTTCTCTAACATGCAGGATGTTTGTGTTTGTGTGTAGGATTATCCACGAGGATGGCTTCTCTGGAGATGATGTGAAGCAGTACAAGCCTGTGGTGTACAGTAACACCATCCAGTCCCTGGCTGCCATCGTCCGTGCTATGGACACCCTAGGCCTGGAGTATGGGGACAAGGAGCGCAAAGTGAGTGCACTAAGGCTAATGCTTACACGCAGTTGCATACGTACATATGTGGCCAGGAATACAATCGAGCTTATGTGCAACATACAAAACATTCATGATGTGTAGGGAAGTGGAAATTAAAGGGGCAATAAAAAGCACCATATAAAGTACAGCAGCAAAAAAATTGATTTCTTATGTTATTTATGTATCAATTTCTCAGACCTTCCTCAGATATCAATCTTTCTTCATACAAGTAGTCATACTAATCAGAATGGAACTATTTTATCTTCATAGTTGTCATCTGTTTTCTTCATCTAGTTGTCACTCATAATATCAAATTATTATTAGGGATACACCAATACCACTGTTTAAAACGTGTACATGGTTGGTCCCATCAGGCTAGTGAGCTGCTAAAAGGCTAACATTATACATTATCCCAAGGTACCGGTGGTTCCTTCCATATATTTCTATGTTTACTCCCTTGGTAACAACCTGCCAGTAAGTTTAAGTGCCAGTATCGGCGCAGATCCTGACACAAGATTGGTATCGGTGCTACCGATAATCTAAAAGATCTTCTGCCTGCCTCTAAAAGATCTTCTGATTTGATTATGTCACTTTGCACTAGCAGGCAGGAAAACATATTAACCAATAATATCATTTCCCCACCTATCATTGATGCTCAGTTAGTTTAGAAACCCTCTGCAATACCCTCTTTTCACTCAGCAATACATCACAGTACAGAAATCTCATTGTGATTCCTGTTAACTTTAAGAACTGTGCAGCGTTTTGTGATTGTACTGTCTGCATGACAGAGATGGTACAACTATTAATCTTTCAGATGTGTCTTTATTGCCATGCACTTGTGACAAACTGAATAAATGTCTAAGCTAAGTAATTTAAGGCCAAGTTCTTTTGAGTGGTACTTCCCCAGTCCACAGCATGAATCTACAGAGTGAGCCCAAGCTAGAATGCTCATGAGGGTACCACACAGAATTCCTCACAGCCATTAAAAGATTACTGTCTCTGTCTGCTCAAGATGTGATGGTCCTCCAGTGAGGACAGTGCAATGAGGCTGACGCTCAAGATGTCACTGCCCAATTACTGTGTGACAGACGTCCCATTTGCATGCTCCTTTCCTGTTGGTCCCTACGAGGTCATAGGGGCATAGTTCAAAGGTCACAAGGCGATTTATGACACATTGCCTCCAACGTTGATTAAACTGGCCCTGAGCAGGACTCGTAATCCCATAATTCCTTTCTTTGAGAGCTTCTCTGCTTTTTGAGTGAAGGGGCTAAGCCCTCGTTTGACCTGTTCAGGAAGTGGCAATTTATTTTAATCAACCCGGTGCCATCAATACGGAGAAAAGAGGCATCCAAAATACCTTGTGGCTATCGACTGAGAGATATTTTCTCTCGGGAAGGACTAAAAAGAGAAAGGATCTTCATTTCCAGATTACATTACTTCACAGGAAACTGGACTGGACTAGCAGAGAAATGATGGCTTCCAGAGCTCAGTACCCTACACGGTGAGGTGACAGATAGCAGCAGCATGGTTTTGTGTGTGTGTGTGTGCTGAGTGAGCCAGTGACTTTAGACATTATTCACATTGAGTCTGTTTTTAACTGTATGATGCTACAAAATGCCAGCTCACTGGATCAAAACTGGGCTTTTGGACTTTATTATAGTGATATGCAGGCTACCCATATTTGTGTGTAATGATAAATTATTGGACTGCAACTGTTGAATATTTTTTTTTCCTTTTTTGTATATTCTATAAGAAAATTCTGATTACAAATTATATGATATCTACAATCTATTATTTTTTAATTTGCTTTTTCGATGTGTTATATTTTCTTGGAACTGAAACAACAAGGTAGTAAAAGGTAGTCATACACGTGTTAATCTGGGGGATCATGCTCAATCTGGCAACACAGCAGGTGCTGAGACTGTTTGAACGTGTCAGTGATGAGCGGTGCAGGAGAGCAGAGGAAACAGCAGCTTAATCATCATCTTATGAAAACAACTTCTTTGGTCAGATCTTGTCAGTAAACCAGAGGATGCTCTAAACTCAGCCACATTGGCTAAATGTTTTCTGCTGTTCAGACAGCTACCTAACCATAGTGCAGTCATTTATTCTAAATGTAAACAGCCTGGACTGCACCAGGCGATAAAGACAGATTATCGCCTCAGATCAGAGAGTTAGGAATAGAATGTTCAAGCCATCTTTAATGAGTCTGGTGTGCAGAGCGAGGAACTGTGTGCTGCAGGTGACAAGCTAGTATTTAGCATGGTAAACAAATGTTTATTTTCTCACTGAAGTGCATAGTTTCATAAAAGTGGTCACAGTGTTGGTTATTCAAATGACTTTTCTAGTTTTTTCTAGTTGGGTAGAAGTACCTATTAATCAAAATCTCTTAAACCTCAAGCTGTGTCAAAAAATCTGCCCTCCTGCCCTCATTACTATATGGTTCAAGTACTTTTCCTGGAAGGTTCCTAAAGGACGCTGCGATATGAACAAGTGAAGCAACTTGCTGGACGTACGGCAACTCTTCAGTCATGTTCTAAATGGTGTGAATTCATGCTGAGATGTTTTTGATGTTGGAGAAAGTTGTGGTCTTGGCTATGACGCTGTATGTTCCGCTAGAGGAAGTTCGTGTCTGTGTTTACACTGAACACACTTTTTGAACCCCGTGGCCTCTGGCTGTGGTGGCCAGCTGGCTTACACATCTTTAATCAGGTGTGAAGCTTTCATTGGAGCTGCTGTTGTCCACAACTCAGCTAGTGTACATCTCTCTCTCTCTCTCTCTCTCTCTCTCTCTCTCTCTCTCTCTCTCTTTCTTCTCTGTTTCCCTCCACCAGTTCAAGTTTTTACTAAAATAATGATTTTATTTACACAGCTCCTATCAAACATCAGTTCACAACTCTAAGTGCTTTACAGAATTGATTTCTCTGTCCATGTCTTTCTCTGTCCCTCCTCCAATCTTGTGTCTGCCTCCTTCCCCACCCCTCCTCTTCCTGCACGCCAGTCCTAGCCTGTTGCCATGGCGACCTCTTGTTTTGCCCGTCTCTCACCACATTCCGCAAGTCCGTGTCCAAGGGCGATGTCACCCACACACAGAGTGGAACAAGCTTGACGGGACAGTCCTGCTCATGTGACCGCCTGTGCTGTGTGTGTGTGTTTTTTTGTGACCAGAATGACTAGTGTGTTCTGTTGCCCTTCATTTTGAAGGTGCTGTTTAAACACATCTGCTGTGCCCCCAGTAAATGATGCACACCGGATGCCGGTTTGGTTAAATAAAAAAATCATAAGGATTGACTACAGATGTGGTTAAAAAAAAAAAAGAAAAAAGAATACATGAGTGCATGGCAGCCTGCATTGTCCCTCCCCTTCTTCCATTACTCTCCACCCTCTGGAGATGGAAATGGGTATTTAGTCTGAACATGCTAAAAATTGACCTGTAGCTAAGGAAATGTATTCATATTTGGTTTCATTCTTAATCAGGGTTGCAGATTTTGGTGACTTCTTCTGACTGGTAACCAACCATCATTACGGCAAACCTAAAATCAAGAGCGTGACTCATTAAAATATTACTTATAAAATGATTTGTTACAGGTCTGGAATCTGACTGTCTAAGCCACAATCACAGTCTTTATAAAGTACTTGATATGCATACACTGAGTGTGCACATCAACTGTATTAATACACAGAAATATTAAATGGTTTTCCACATATGGACTGTGGAGCACAGTACTGGTCAGTTGGACTAGGCATAAGCATGTATATGAAGTAAAGCTCATTAAGCATATTCCATATGAACCCGGTTTTGTTTAAACAGAAGGGGTGACAACTATATGCTCATGATTATATGACTAAAAAGTAAAATGTGGGCTAAGTGACTGGAATATATAACGGTGACCTACTGAAAGGTTTGTATTCTAAAGTTCTAAAGTCTTAGTTATCACTAATTCTCGCTCAATACTAGCACAAGTTCAAACGGAACATAAATGCCATGACTAGCTATGGCTGAGTGTTCCTCCGTAACTTTTGAAAGCCATCGCAGTCCACCACGTCTTTCTCTGACCATTTTGTGGGGCACCACAGTGCCTCGCACTTTCTATTTGATAACATAGACAAAATAATTGTCTGTCTTATCACTTGTGGATGTTTGCCTTCAGTATGGTGCATCTCTGCAGTTGTGCTGTCAACCTCTCGAAAAATGCGTCTGAACACTTGATTTTTTTAGTAGGCCTGTCCAGCAGAAGAAGCTGCCCTCGTTTGTTCTGTTTAAAAAAAGCTTGAATGATAATCCTTCTTATTCATATAGGAACGGTTGTTTATTGGAAATGAAAGGTACTTAACTTTTTTATACACATGGCATTAGTGGAACAATTGTTTAATTGTTGGTTAATGGTTAATTGGTTATTCATGTACATCCCTGGTTCTGATTTAAGCACATCTGAATGCTTGGAACAGATTCCTTTTGGCCTTTCTCGCTTCAACCTATTAGTCAGCCAGCCGCAAAAATGGAATAGAGAGAGCTAATTGTTTTTAACAATTACTCTACCTTGTTATATATAGGCTGCCTCATTGCATATTAGGGTTGCACAGCTTAGCTGGGTACTATGGTGCCATGACTCAAGTGGCTGGAAGTGGACATACCACGCTGGTGTGGGTGGAGGGCTGTGTGCCCGGCACCTGGCAAGCGGTTTGCTCCAGATGGGTTTCGCCACACTAGCCCTCATGTCCTATTGAAGCCTTGTGCCAGCAGGCCCAAATTCTCCCTGAACCCCATCTGGGGATGACTAGCTAACCAAATGCAAATGAGATGCAAAAGTTCCCTAAGATAGAAGTGAGAAATTAGATTATACTGTAGGGTGAGGCGCTTTAACCAGCCTCTGCATGTGAGAGCGTGAGACAGAAATAAGAGAGACAGAGAGAAGGAGTGAGAGAGAAACATTAGTGTGTGAGAAGCTCCAGATCTAGTGATTTATTCTGTGAGTGTGCCAGCTCACTGCTCCCAG